AATAGGGTGAATACATCTCATTACAATGATTTACTGGTAGTCTCGAAACCCTACTTTCTTACGAATATTGTATTTTGCTCTAAAGATGTTTGCTACATGACAGATTAAAAGTTAGCATGGATTTATTTGAGTTTCAGGACAGTGAGCCTCAATATTCCACAATTCATTCCATGATAATCCTTCTTCCATTTCTGTTAAGACTAATTCATTAACTCCTTCCAATCAACTAATCCTTCAAAAAAGAATAGTTAAGTCACATTAAATATTAGGAGTTTCTTCTAAATCTAGCCTTTCATTATATGGATACTTAAATCGTTTACTAGATTATCTTGTATGTCGCATTTAAACAAATCATTTTTCCCGTACACCCGCTTTCGACCAGGAAGGCATTCGCCGCATTGAATTTTCTTCACATCGGCCACTGCCCTTTACCACTCGACTCGACTGCCTACATCGCGACGGCCTCAAACTCGAATCTGTGCAAAATCTGCTCGAAGCTGATGTCTGGACGAAAGGCTCTTACATGCAACTTTATAACGGCGTTGTTGATCTACTTGTTGCACGTGTTGCCCAAAACTGCTTCCGCCCGTTGGCCCAACTCGTTAGGCTTCCAGACATCATCCCAATCAGCATAGATACTGGTGTTGGTGTTCACAGTGAACGTAGTAGTAACGATGCTGTTGTCACTGTGACGGGCTATGGGATGGCAACCCGTCGAAATCCACACGACCAAGCTGACACTTCGCATGATACATCTTTTGCTACGTCGGTGACATCCAGCAGCGCAATTGGTGATGATGACTTACAGTCCTTGCTTAAACCTCAGCGCCCGCTTCTCGATTGCTTAATCTGCCGCGAAGTGGCGTTCTGGATGTCTGGTCTTCTCTTCACATTAACCAAGCGGGAGCCCCATAGACAGTGAGTTTTGCTTTCGTCGATAATTCCTAGATTGAATTAATTAAATCAATCAACTCCACCTATTTTGTTTCATATTGATGAAGATCTTTTGCACACCGGCAAAAGCCCAAAATTCAGGTTTTCCATTCTAGACAAAGCTGGCCCAAGGCGCCATTTCTAGTATCCATAGGTTATAAGACCTGCCATGTCAATAACTATTGGCTCCGATGCTCTAAAGTATCCTAGGAGAACTGAACTATTTCTAAGTCTATCAATCATGCCCATCAGAATA